ATTGGCAGAGGGGGGTGGCGGAGATGGAGCGGTTGGAAAGGTGAATGAGTCTGGCAGCCGTATTCAGGATGGACTGAAGCGGGGATAGCCAGCGGCGAGGCAGGCCAGTGAGGAGGGAGTTGCAGTAGTCGAGTCGTGATATGATGAGGGAGTGGATGAGCTGTTTAGTGGTTTCTGGGGTTAGGAACGTGCGGATTTTGGCGATGTTGCGGAGGTGGAGTCTGCATGAGTTTGTTAAAGATTGGACTTGGGGATATAATAGAAGTCTATGGCTCAATGCAGCTAACCGGCATGAAAACCTCAGGTGCACCTGCAGATCAGTGTGAAATCAGCCTGATAATCCTTTTTTTTAAAAGTGCTAAGATGCCCATTGCAAACGTACAGTGTATGTGATATTTAATACACTGACCTTTTCCCTCTTCCAGCTTCTGCCGCCATTGCTCTCCAGGCTGCTGGAAAGGCGAAGTGCACTTGGTATCATTCCTCCTGGGACAGAGGAAGCATCGGCTTATGTGGTCCCTGCTCCCTCCATGACCGCCTGCTTCCTCCTCTGCAGGCGCCAGGTCGATGTACTCTGATGTTCTGGGATAGCAGGTTGGCAACCCTTTGACCGTGATCTGGGCTTGCCAACCCACCATCCCAGAGCATGACCATGCACTTCCCTAGTTTCAGGTCACAGGCCACATCGGAGGGTTGAGCACCCTGACTTACAGACTTCGGAATAAAAAAAAAAGAAAAAAAAGTTCACTATGATGGTTGCTGGTTTTGGAAAGACAAGGTACCAAATTACTCTTTGAAGCTTTCAGGGACCTGACGTAGAAATGTGCTGGAAAAATATGATATCTAACAAGCCACTTTCATTCTCCATATCGCCTTCTGAAATATTTTAATATTCACCCTTGGATTATTTTATACCTAGATCAGTTTGAATTCCTTTAAAAGAACCTCAGGCATCCGACAGACTGGCAGCTGCGGAAAAGTGACAAGTGCCAAAATACCTTGCCGATGAGCCCGGCCAACTTTTTCAAACATGTAGGCAATATAAAAGCAACAGGTTAAACTTGTTACTCGAGTGTATTTTCAATGAGTAAACACTTTGAGGCATTTGAGAGGGGTTAACGATAGATTCCCGGCCAAACGTCTGTTGGATGACTTGCCCGCGTTTACAAAAAAACACATTGGCCCTGTTGAGTCGGATTTGCTGCAGTTGACCCAAGATCTGATTATCAGTTCAATTAGAAATCCAGTTCTTTGTAATATGGCCAATGTTACATTTGCCAGCTCTGGTCGCTTTTCAATGTTCGGAGTTCACAGATGGCAAATCATTGGTTTTCTTGGTGATCCATAACTAGTTTCTAAGCAGACCCCTGAAATCTCACTTTTGAGACAGAGAAAGGGAAACACATTCCCCAGTTCCTTTCTGCAGCCCCAGCTGCACTGCAGAGAAATGAACAAGAGACAGAGGTTCCTGTCCATTCATAAACTGAAGCATAGTAAACACACAGTATGCTTCAGTTATTAATGGACACAGTGAGTGATCAGTATCGATCACTTACTGTATTCATTTAGAAATGGAAGGATCTCCATCCTGAAGATCTCTAACAGCACCCAGGGGGAGAGTATTGCATTTGCCAGCTCTGGTCGCTTTTCAATGTTCGGAGTTCACAGATGGCAAATCATTGATTTTCTTGGTGATCCATAACTAGTTTCTAAGCAGACCCCTGAAATCTCACTTTTGAGACAGAGAAAGGGGACTGAGGAAACACATTCCCCAGTTCCCTTCTGCAGCCCCAGCTGCACTGCAGATGAATGAACAAGAGATAGAGGTTCCTGTCCATTCATAAACTGAAGCATAGTAAACATACAGTATGCTTCGGTTATCAATGGACACAGTGAGTGATCAGTATAGATCACTTACTGTATTCATTTAGAAATGGAAGGATCTCCATTCTGAAGATCTCTAACAGCACCCAGGGGAAGAGGATTGCATTTGCCAGCTCTGGTCGCTTTTGAATGTTCGGAGTTCACAGATGGCAAATCATTGGATTTCTTGGTGATCCATAACTAGTTTCTAAGCAGACCCCTGAAATCTCACTTTTGAGACAGAGAAAGGGAAACACATTCCCCAGTTCCTTTCTGCAGCCCCAGCTGCACTGCAGATAAATGAACAAGAGACAGAGGTTCCTGTCTATTCATAAACTGAAGCATAGTAAACATACAGTATGCTTCAGTTATCAATGGACACAGTGAGTGATCAGTATCGATCACTTACTGTATTCATTTAGAAATGGAAGGATCTCCATTCTGAAGATCTCTAACAGCACCCAGGGGGAGAGTATTGCATTTGCCAGCTCTGGTCGCTTTTCAATGTTCGGAGTTCACAGATGGCAAATCATTGATTTTCTTGGTGATCCATAACTAGTTTCTAAGCAGACCCCTGAAATCTCACTTTTGAGACAGAGAAAGGGACTGAGGAAACACATTCCCCAGTTCCCTTCTGCAGCCCCAGCTGCACTGCAGATGAATGAACAAGAGATAGAGGTTCCTGTCCATTCATAAACTGAAGCATAGTAAACATACAGTATGCTTCGTTTATCAATGGACACAGTGAGTGATCAGTATAGATCACTTACTGTATTCATTTAGAAATGGAAGGATCTCCATTCTGAAGATCTCTAACAGCACCCAGGGGAAGAGGATTGCATTTGCCAGCTCTGGTCGCTTTTCAATGTTCGGATCACAGATGGCAAATCATTGGATTTCTTGGTGATCCATAACTAGTTTCTAAGCAGACCCCTGAAATCTCACTTTTGAGACAGAGAAAGGGAAACACATTCCCCAGTTCCTTTCTGCAGCCCCAGCTGCACTGCAGATAAATGAACAAGAGACAGAGGTTCCTGTCTATTCATAAACTGAAGCATAGTAAACATACAGTATGCTTCAGTTATCAATGGACACAGTGAGTGATCAGTATCGATCACTTACTGTATTCATTTAGAAATGGAAGGATCTCCATTCTGAAGATCTCTAACAGCACCCAGGGGGAGAGGATTGCATTTGTCAGCTCCCCAGTTCCCTTCTGCAGCCCCAGCTGCACTGCAGATGATATGAACAAGAGATAGAGGTTCCTGTCCATTCATAAACTGAAGCATAGTAAACATACAGTATGCTTCAGTTATCAATGGACACAGTGAGTAATCAGTACCGATCACTTACTGTATTCATTTAGAAATGGAAGTACTATTTACGGGTCTCTTCCCCCACTCTCCATCCTGAAGATGGACCTACAGCACCCAGGGGAGGAAGGAGGAAGCCAGCAGCGATGCAGGGAACTCACAAAGGGGCCCAGATAGCGGGGGGGAATCGGAGAGTGGACACTGTACAGGAGGAGGTGATCAGTGCCGCAGGTGGGGGAAATGACTGGAACTGATCTTTTGAAACTCTCACTGCAGGGAGGGAGGAGGGGATGCCGGCTTTCAGCTGCTACAGTGGGAGCCACAAAAGATCAGTTAAAGCAATTTCCCCCACCCAGCGCACTGATCACCCATTCTGCTCACATGTGATTCCCCCTGCTGGGGAGTGGAGAACTGCAGGGGCCCCCCCATGCAACTAAGGCCCCTGGGCAGTGCCCAAGGGTGCCCATGCAATAAGACGGCACTAGCCCTCTCTACACCTTAAATTGACATGTTAACCAAATAATTTGCTATATAACCATCACATTTTACAATGTTTCATTACACCATGTTACTATGTTGTCAGATTTGGTAGGTTCTCCCTCTAGTGGTCATCTGTATGTCATCCTCACACTGCTGTTCAACCACTGCTGAGACAAAGCCAGTTCCACGATAAGCTACCATTCAATGTATCCTATTTAAATAATCAAAAGTTGAAACTTGCATATCTGCAAGAGTATAGAAATTTAGAGAGAAAAACAATAAAGTAATAAGACTGCTAAATACTAAGCAGTAAGCAAAGTCTGCAGGCATGGTGACAAAGTACACACATCTCCCCTTACATGTATTATATGATCTCTATTATACCGCTGTCATTCTTTATATCACGTTATGAAATGTCTGAAATGTTTAAATATTCATCCGTGGATTATTTTGTACCTAGATCAGTTTTAATACTTATGGAAATACTATGGAATATATAAAACAACCCATTCAGTTGATCATTTCTTTACAACTGATCTCTTGACCTCATGTCAGCAGGAGGTAGAGAAAGTAATACACTAATGAATTCCCAATGAAAGGCTGTGCAGGGGGTGTGTCAGTACAAGTGTTGGCCATTGCAAGACATGCAGGCTGTTCCCTCAGCACAGTCCAAAAATTGACCGTGCTGAGATGTGCTTTCATGTCTAGTGTGGTCAGTTTTTAAGCTAATTCTTAAAAGTGTTACTAAACCCAGGACCCTTCATTCACTATATCTGGTCTCCCCGGACCCTTCATTCACTATATCTGCTCTCCCCGCACCCTGCATTCACTATATCTGGTCTCCCCGGACCCTGCATTCACTATATCTGGTCTCCCTACCCTGCATTCACTATATCTGGTCTCCCCGGACCCTGCATTCACTATATCTGGTCTCCCCGGACCCTGCATTCACTATATCTGGTCTCCCCGGACCCTTCATTCACTATATCTGGTCTCCCCGGACCCTGCATTCACTATATCTGGTCTCCCTACCCTGCATTCACTATATCTGGTCTCCCCGGACCCTGCATTCACTATATCTGGTCTCCCCGGATCCCGCATTCACTATATCTGGTCTCCCGGACCCTGCACTCACTATATCTGGTCTCCCCGGACCCTGCATTCTGGTCTCCCCTGCATTCACTATATCTGGTCTCCCCGGACCCTGCATTCACTATATCTGATCTCCCCGGACCCTGCATTCACTATATCCAGTCTCCCCGGACCCTGCATTCACTATATCTGGTCTCCCCGGACCCTGCACTCACTATATCTGGTCTCCCCGGACCCTGCACTCACTATATCTGGTCTCCCCGGATCCTGCATTCACTATATCCGGTCTCCCCGGACCCTGCATTCACTATATCTGGTCTCCCCGGACCCCGCATTAACTATATCCGGTCTCCCCGGACCCCGCATTAACTATATCTGGTCTCCCCGGACCCTGCATTCACTATATCTGGTCTCCCCAGACCCTGTATTCACTATATCTGGTCTCCCCGGACCCTGCATTCACTATATTTGGTCTCCCGGACCCTGCATTCACTGTATCTGGTCTTCCCGGACCCTGCATTCACTATATCTGGTCTCCCCCGGACCCTGCATTCACTATATCCGGTCTCCCCGAACCCGGCATTCACTATATCTGGTCTCCCCGGACCCTGTATTCACTATATCTGGTCTCCCCGGACCCTGCATTCACTATATTTGGTCTCCCGGAGCCTGCATTCACTGTATCTGGTCTTCCCGGACCCTGCATTCACTATATCTGGTCTCCCCGGACCCTGCATTCACTATATCCGGTCTCCCCGAACCCGGCATTCACTATATCTGGTCTCCCCGGACCCTGTATTCACTATATCTGGTCTCCCCGGACCCTGCATTCACTATATCTGGTCTCCCCGGACCCTGCATTCATTATATCTGGTCTCCCCGGACCCTGCATTCACTATATCCACTTTCCCCGGACCCTGCTTTTGCTATATCTGGTCTCCCCGGACCCTGCATTCACTATATCCGCTTTCCCCGGACCCTGCTTTTGCTATATCTGGTCTCCCCGGACCCTGCATTCATTATATCTGGTCTCCTCGGACCCTGCATTCACTATATCTGATCGCTCACACCACACAGAACATGGAAATGCAATTATTTTAGTAAATATAAACTGCTAAATACCTTTTCTCATCAGCAGTATATAGCAGTTTTGTGACTTCTATCAGTGTCCAGCAGAGCAAATGTTAAAGTTTGTAGGAGGAGTTTTCATTGTGCCCTAGGAGGATGCAGAACCCCTGACCTTTGTCTGGACAGTGCTGATTGGCCCTGTGCTGATCACATGCACTCTCCCAAGAAAAAACATGCACTCTCCAGAGTGACTCCACACAATATGTCTTATCAGGAGATAAGAGGGGACACTGGAAGAAGGGGAGGATCAGAGAAGATGGGATTAAACAACCTTTTTACACAATGCGGAGGATTAACCCCTTAGGTTCCACAGTGAGTATAACAAGCATGCTTTACTGCGTCTACAGACTGATTGTAACACTTTAAGGTTGTAATTTAAAAAATAAAATAACACACATCTTATACTTACCTGCTCTGTGTAATGTCTTTGGACAGAGCAGCTCCGATCCTCTTTTATTTTTGTCCCCCCAACGGCGGTCATGCCTCCCACCTGCCGAATGCCCCCAATAGCAACCCTCTTGCTATGGCAGCACTAGTAGGCTTGCTCCTGAGCTGTGCTCCTGTGAATGGACATTGTCCATTAACACACAGAGCGTTGCTTAGCCCTGCCTACCTGCTGCTGTGTGAGCCAATGAGGAGAGAGGGACCAGGGAGAGTCGCTGTTCTCATCCACATCACTGGATCGATTTGGGGCTCAGGTAGGAAAGGTGGGGGGGGGGTGACACCCAGAACCTTTTTTTTACCTTAATGCAGAGAATGCATTATGGTAACAAAAATATTCTGCCTTTAGAACCATTTTAATAGGAAAGCAGAGGGACTGGCGGGATAACCAAATATTTCACACAACGGAAGCAACACAAAGACAACAGGATACTTTATAACACAACAGACACCTGTGAGGAATAAGAAATGTTGGGGAAACATAATCTTTAAACCACATTGGGGGATATTTACTATAAAATGGAGAGTGCAAAATCCGGAGCAGCTGTTCATAAAAACCAATCAGCTTCCAGGTTTTATTATCAAAGCCTAATTGAACAAGCAGAGGTTAGAAGCTGATTGGCTGCCATGCACAGCTGTACCAGATTTTGAGTGCTCCAGTTTTAGTAAATCTCCCCCATTGATCAAATTAAAGAAAATTAAAAACAGTGTGAGCCAAAAAAGATGGTGCAAAAGTAAAGTAAAAATTGGGTCGATTGACAGCACAGGTCTTCAGGGCCTAGATTTAGCTCTACATATAATGGATGGTTCAAATGTAAAGCTGATTTATTCATAGTAGAATGAACCTAACATAATTAACATCAAAATACACATTAACTGTCCAAGTGTTACCTCCACACTACAGATTCTCAATGTGTGCCCCCATGGTGACATGACACATGACTGCTGTTTACCATTATTACTAACACTAACAAATACTGCTAACCTTAACTCTAACCTTAACCCTAACCCTAACAATTACCACTAACCCTAGTCCTAACCCTAACAATTACCAACTAATCCTAGTCCTAACCCTAACAATTACCACTAACCCCTAACCCTAACAATTACCACTAACCCTAACCCTAACCCTAACAATTACCACTAATCCCTAGCCTGCTAACTAACCCTAACAATTACCACTGCTAACTCTAACCCTAACAATTACCACTAACCTAACCCCTAACCCTAACAATTACCACTAACCCTAACCCTAACCCTAACAATTACTGCTAACCACTAATTACCACTAACCCTAACCCTAACAATTACCACTAACCCTAACCCTAACAATTACCACTAACCTAGTCCTAACCCTAACAATTACCACTAACCCTAACCCTAACAATTACCACTAACACTAGTCCTAACCCTAACAATTACCACTAACGCTAAATTACCACTAACCCTAACCCTAACAATTACTGCTAACCCTAGTCCTAACCCTAACAATTACCACTAACCCTAGTCCTAACCCTAACAATTACCACTAATCCTAGCCCTAACCCTAACAATTACCACTAATCCTAGCCCTAACCCTAACAATTACTGCTAACCCTAACAATTACCACTAATCCTAGCCCTAACCCTAACAATTACCACTAACCCCTAGTCCTAACCCTAACAATTACTGCTAACCCTAACAATTACCACTAATCCTAGCCCTAACCCTAACAATTACTGCTAACCTTAGCCCTAACCCTAACAATTACCACTAATCCTAGCCCTAACCCTAACAATTACTGCTAACCTTAGTCCTAACCCTAACAATTACTGCTAACTCTAACCCTAACAATTACCACTAACCCTAACCCTAACAATTACCACTAACCCTAACCCTAACAATTACCACTAACACTAGTCCTAACCCTAACAATTACCACTAACCCTAACCCTAACAATTACTGCTAACCCTAGTCCTAACCCTAACAATTACCACTAACCCTAGTCCTAACCCTAACAATTACCACTAATCCTAGCCCTAACCCTAACAATTACCACTAATCCTAGCCCTAACCCTAACAATTACTGCTAACCCTAACAATTACCACTAATCCTAGCCCTAACCCTAACAATTACCACTAATCCTAGTCCTAACCCTAACAATTACTGCTAACTCTAACCCTAACAATTACCACTAATCCTAGCCCTAACCCTAACAATTACCACTAATCCTAGCCCTAACCCTAACAATTACCACTAATCCTAGCCCTAAACCCTAACCTTAACAATTACTGCTAACCATAAATCTAACCCTAACTCTAACACTTACAGTTTGGGTTAGTGGTAGTTGTTAGGGTTAGGGTGAGGATTAGGGTTAGTGGTAATTGTCAGGACTAGCTTTCTAACCCCAATGATTACTGCTAAGCCTAATCCAAAACTGTCATACTCTCCTATTGGCAAAAAAAAAGCAAAACACAAACCACATCAAAATTGCAAAACATGTCCCAAAATGCATCAACCGCTCCCTGCATAGATGAGAACCCAGCCCAACCGAAGATCAGCTTTGAAATAAAGAAGAAATGGAACTATTCTGAAAAACAGCCGTCACAAAAGTTGAAATCAGACTGGCAATGGGCATTACTGTTCTGCAACAGAAAAGGAGAAAGCGTGAAACTCTTCCCGTGATAAAGACCAGTCACCACCGCTCTTCTTCTGCAGGATGACTGGTCTCATATCTGCCCACTTCAGTATTGGTATTTTACAAGTTTATAACTGGGTTTGCAATTCATGTGCACAAAGTGGATTGACATCCTTTGCGGCTATTAACCACTTGAGCTCCAGAGGATTTACCCCCCTTAATGACCACGCCTCTTTTTGCTGCTCGGCGCTGCACTAATTCAAATGATAATTGCGCGGTCATGCAATGCTGCACCCAAACAAAATGTACGTCCTTTTTTTCACACAAATAGAGCTTTCTTTCGGTGGTATTTGATCACCTGTGCGCTTTTTATTTTTCACGCTATAAACAAAAAAAGGCCAAAAATTTTGAAGAAAAATGATATTTTTTTACTTTCAGCTATAAAAAATATATAGTAAACTCAAAGTTGCTTATAAATTTAGGCCAAAATGTATTCTGCTCCATGTTTTTGGTAAACAAATCCCAATAAGTGTATATTGATTGCTTTGTGTGAAGTTATAGCGTCTACAAACTATGGTATAGATACTGCAATTTATGCCATTTTTTTTGCTATACAGCGCTGCACTAGTTTAAACGACAATTGCGCGGTCATGCAATACGGTACATAAATGAAATTTACATCCTTTTTTTTTACCACAAATTGAGCTTTCTTTCAGTGGTATTTGATCGCCTGTGCGGTTTTTTATTTTTTGTGCTATAAAAAACAAAGCCTGACAATTTTGAGGAAAAAAAACAATATTTTGGACTTTTTGCTATAAAACATGTCCAGTAAAAAAAAAAAAAAAAGTAAAAATCAAATTTAGTCATAAATTTCTGCCAAAATGCATTCTGCGACATGTCTTTGCTAAAAGAAAAAACCCAATACGTGTAAATTAATTGGTTTACGTGAAAGTTATAGCGTTTACAAATGGCGGGAAAGATACTGGAATTTTTAGGTTTTTTTTATACTAATAATGACGGTGATCAGCGACTTATGGCGGGACTGCGGCGGACATTCTGACATTGGGGGGTACTGACTTGGGGTCACTGACATCCCCAGTGACACCAATACAGTGATCAGTGCAAAAAAAAAAAACACTGACACTGTACTAATGGCACTGGGGAGGAAGGGGTTAAGTTTATTATTCAGGGAAGGGTTAACTGTGTGAGGGGAGTGTTTTACTAGGGGGCGGGGTGTGTACTGCAGGGAACACCGCTAATCTGGAAAGATAAATTCTTCTGTACCGACCAGCGTGTCCTGGAGCTGTCAGGGAACTGACAGAAAGCACAGCTACTGCAGCTGTGCTCTCTGTCAGCGATTGCCGCCGATCGCCGGGACATAGCCGGTAACAACCGGCTGTGAACCGGTGACTGACATCCGCGGCTGTGATTGGCGGGACAGGTAGGGCGGCGGCACGTATTGTGCGCGCCCCCTACCTGTTTTCAAAACACATGTTTTAAAACGTGCTTTTGCCCAGCCGTGCCGCCCTGCAGGGGCTGGGCGGCATGTGGTTAACAAATATTATTATTATACGGGATTTATATAGCGCCAACAGTTTGCTCAGCGCTTTACAATCTAACGGGAGGCAATACAGCAACAATACAGTTCAATACAAGAGGGATAGGAGGGCCCTGATCCTGGGAGCTTACAATCAGGGAGATATTGTATGTAAATGAGAGTTTCGGAGCCTGGAGTTCAGCATCAAAAGCATTTATCACTTTACAATTTTTTGTTGTAAAGCAGGTAAAACACTTCCAATATGAACATTTCAATTGAGTACATAGATGTTTTTTCTACAAGCACAGCTAAGCCCGGGCATATTGCGTGTTTTCCTATGTGACGTGCATCATACCGAGAACATAATCAGGAAAGACGCAAGTGGCGATTTTCCTCGTTCTCTTCAGTAAAGCCTTTAATGGTTTGAATCAACTGTGAACATTGTTCTATAGAAGGAATCATAAGACCCAGCGGAGTTTTGGGATGTTCTACTTCTTTTATAACTCTTTCTCCGATAAAATATTAATAAGAAATCCTCTTAATATTTCAGCTGTTCATATCATAAAATATAAAAAAACTGATCAGAGGAGATAACAACTTGGCTG